CTTATAGCTCCATTTCGTTTTATTCTCATTATAACTTATATTGAGCACTGAATGGGCTCTGTGCACATCCATGCAGCCATCCATCCTAAGAGTAGAAGGAATATGTTGAACGCATAAAGAGCAATTTGGAATTAATTGCATGTTCTCAATTTGGCTTCTACTCAATTAAAAAAGACAGAAAGTTTAAAGTAGCTCAAAATATCACATCTGCTCAGGAGGCTCTCTGACAAACCTGCAGCTCCACAGTCATGTCATCCCTTCTTTTTAAAAGACTTCCCTCCTTCCCTCTTCTCAAGTGAAAGAGCAACAGAAAGAATTCACTCACTGTGCAGGGCAAACAGTGAAAAAAACGGCACTATAAAAAATATTGTGAAACACAACAGAAAAACTCAAAATAGGCAGAAAAGCATCCTCACATGCCACTCCGCAGATGGTAAGAGGTTGGCCTGCTGTTGGCTATGAAGGATGCTGTTTAAACAGGAGACATGTAAAGTGTGTGCTCTATGGGGCACAATTACGTTCAAGCTCAGAAGACAAACAGGTCGGATATACTCAGGAGGAGTTCATACAGCAGCAATAGTACAGGAATTAACTCACAACAGTCACATATGCAGAACAGTGAAGACTTTCTTTGTGGAAGCTAGTCATTATTTAACAGGTTCCAATTGATGAAAGCGATCTTATTCAACAAAGTCCTCAATATGGGATCCCATTAACCACCTCCAGTGCTGGCAGCAGTAGCTATGCTTATTTGAATAAGGCCCTGAGTTACTGAGCTTCACCCCTTGCCAAAATCCTGTGCTGACTTGGAACCAGGGGGAAACAGCTTGTACATCTTCAGACGGCTTTTTAACACTGTAGTGCACAGCGTATTTCACCTGTTTTTACCACACTTGCATCAGCTTTACATTGTACACCTCTTCTGACTGCAACAAATTCATCTCACACAAATATGAGAAAAGAGCCAGGCACATACAGCGCCATCCTCAACCTCCCTGATGGAAACATATGCAGGTACTCTTACACAATCTCATTAGGCCACAGCTGATGTTAAGGTAGCCAAAAAATAACGTGCTGTTCTAAACATCATCTCAATAACCAATGGGAAACTAAAACAAATTAATCTGATCTACAGTTTTAAGAACAGGTTCAACAGCGCAATCACCATTAGCACAATCCACCTTAAGGAATAGGAAAGGAATTTCTTATAAAGAATAAGGGGAAAAAATGGAGTTATAGGATACTACTCATTGTTTCTGGGGTTTTTGCTTTTTCTATTGCAAATAAAATATTTTACATCTCTGGAAACCACTTTCTTTGATGAAAACCACTATAAACAGATTATTTTGCCAAAATCAAGCCATCTCATTTGCTCATATGCATACATGTACAAATTTCTGTCCTTTAAAATAAGATTAAAATCACATTAATCAAAGAGCCCCATTTTTGCTTCCTGTTTTGCATTTGGCTGTTTATGGAGATCACAGGTTTTTCTATGTTCCCCATAAAGATTTAAATTATATTTTTCACTCCATCATGCATAAAGATTTTTCATGCTAACACTGCAAATGTCTGGGGAAAAAAAATCTCCCACAATCAAGTTTCAGTGCAGTTTTCCAGATCTATCACTTTTTAACTCTATTCCTGTAGCTACAACATCTGAATAAAAAAAATTAAAGGCAATACCAGTGAACAATGCTACTCACTTCAAAGCTTAAAAGAATTAAAAATGCACTGATTCCTGAAATCAAAGAGGTGAATCCATAGGTAAATCCTTAGGCATCACTTCAGCTAGTTAACCTGACATGTCAATTAAATGCAAGAGTAATTTATTCAATTCTCAGTCTAGTCTGACACAAAACCTATACTTCCCGATTCCTAATTAGCCAAAGTACTTGTCTTCTTTCATGCAGATAATTTCATAACCATTAGTGTAAAGCATTAACACATTTTTCTTTCAATCATATTCTCCTCCTGTTGACTGACACACCTTTTCTAGCGAGTGTACTTGTGCCAGTTTCAGCTTTGTGGGAACTTGCCCCAAGGTCTTTAGTAAAGTTCCCTCCCATACACATAAAACAATGATATATACTCATGATGCTAGCTATGTGAAGAGACATATGTCTTACCTTAGAAAATATGAATGGAAAATTATGCACTGGAGGAATGTAGCCGTTTCCATCTGAGTGTATTTATGAAGCTAAATTGCATAGTACTTAACATACGGTAGAATGCAGCATGATTAACTCCTTGACAACATGTTCAGGTGGTGTTTCTCATTAAATAATTTAAGGTTTTTTTGACAGGCCAGACTTCTTACAAGATGCCTAATAATTCTAGGAGAATTAATCAAAACAAAGAAATTCCTTTTGTGTACACACAAAACTTACTATATGCAAGATCTGGCCATGTATCTGGTACGTGGCTATTTCCAGTAAACCATACTCAGTATTTGTTTCTTAGTTCTCTTTTGACTTATTACTTAGGAATGTTTTTTGAAAGATGGTTATGAGACTTTATACATAGAGCTGGTTGAAAAATGCAGTAAAATGTCATGAAACATTCATCCACATGAAAATATTAAAAGTTTCAGATAACTTTAAAATTCTTTCTAGTCTTTCTCTCATTGCATCTCTGTTGGTTTTCCTTCACAGTGATCGGAACTGACTATATCCTGCAGAGGTGTCAGGAAATGGAAGCACAAGTTTAGAGACCTTCTTAAACTCTGCTCAACTCTTTGGGGAAAAAGCATAGCAAAAAAAAAAACAACCACAACCCCAAAAAAGGGAAATCAGCTTCCTTGTATGAAACTTTCATACTGCTCAGCTTGATTCACATTGCTTAGGAACAAGTGATTTATTTCATTTCCATGTGCAGAGCCATTTGCTGGGGCTTCAGATGCCATCTGTCTTTCAGGGGGGAAGTTTAGTGTTCTTCTCATTACCCGCTCCCCATACAGTGGGCTCCTGATGCATGACAGAAGCAAGTGTGAATTGTGCAGGCTCATGCACTGCATGATCAGAGCATAGAATGCTTGTCACCCTCCAAATCACAAATGTGACTGTGGAATGTGATGGCATATCTCTCTGGGGGAGGCTCTCAGCCCTGCCTGCTCCAGCAACGCGCCAGGGGGCTTCGCAGCACCATCTACACCATCAGGATGCTGCAAGGATTTGCTGCACTGCTTTGCCAAAGGCACCTTGTGACTCAGTCAAAGCAGTAACTGCAGGTTTTACAGACATGACATAGCCAGAGAGACTCACACTAGCCTCTTACCCTACCTCTTGGGCAGACTTTGTAGCCAGTGCTGGTCCGCAGGCTGGTGGGACTGCACCGGTGCCCCACTACCAGGGCAAGATAAGGATGTTTACAAAAGATGCAGTGACAGCCACTGAACACAAAGCTGGCCCATTGTAGGTGAAGGGCATCTTTACATACTGAAGCTCCACCAGCTTATCTTAGAATCAGTGCAATTAAACTGGTACAAGCCAGTTTAATTAAACCAGACACTCTTATGTGGGCTCAGTAGAAAGTATCCTGGTTAGCTTGCATCTGAATGTTTGCCAGTGCAAGCTAATCCACTTTTGAGAGGTTTAAACCCACATATGTGTTCCTTTTAAAATTTGCGCTACCTTAGCTAACCTATTACTAAAATGACAACTTCAGTCAAACTAGAACAAGTTTCACCAGGCTAATTGTTTAGGCATTTTTAGAAATATTAATCTCTTTTACTAATCAGCTTGGTTTGCTGATTGTCGTGATGAGGCTAGCCTGCCCTACCTTTGATTATAAAATGCTATTTTGGCAATCCATGTACCAAGGACTAGAAAGGCTGTAGTGGATGCCTGCTTAATACATCACAAGGAGTACTAAGCAGCAGGTGCCTTAATCAAGGACTTTTTATTTGAACAACTTCAAGGTTTGGCCTAAGACAGTTAAAAACCATTGTACCTGTGTATGTTTTCAACTTCTGATCCTGCTGCTCACTGGTCTTTGCTGTGACCTGACCTGCATGCAGCTGATGTTAGGACAGAAGTCATCCTGCACTGCCAGCTGCAGAAAAAATGGGAGCTTGGGCACTGCTGCAGTGTTGACTTGCCATGTCTCACGTGAATTTCACAACTGTGCAGGAAAATCCCACCAAATTACTTAATCTATTACACTAAAAGCACACCTTTGTCCCCTAAGACTTTTAGCTGCTGTGTTTTTTACATGCTGCTCTACAACTCTCACAATAATCAAAGAATGCAGACACCAAATCAGATCAAAACCAGGGTTGTGCACCATGAGAAATAAAACCCAGATAGTTTAGAGTTTCTCATTAGTGTATTTTTAAGTTCTTCAGGGAATTTTCAATGCAATGCAGTGCTTAAATAGGTGGCCTCTTCCACTCATTTTGGTAATCACCATCAATAACTGCCATGCAATCTACGTATCTTTGGGGATTCTGGTAAAATACAAGAATAAAGAAAGGTAATGCAGTAAGAGTTATTTTTACTAACATGGAAACTTATTGTCAAATATTGTATTATCCCTTAAAAGTGATGTAATTTTCTTTCCAAAACTACGGAGTCTTTCAGAGGGTGTTTGACCACTGATTATCATTTTAAGATGGTCAATCAAAAGTTATTCTAACTAGAAATCATCAAGTAATGCACATATGTTCTAAAACAGCCAATAAAATGCACTCGAAACAGTAAGAGTGACTTCAGCTCACAAAAAAACCAAACCCAAGTAAAAAAGCATTGGGAAAGGATTCGGAGGGAATAACATTCTGAGTACTGGTATACAAACACAAACAGGGTTTTTCTGGCTTTTTTTCAAGTTTTCTGCATTTCTGTTCTCCTCATTTTCTCACCTACCCTCAACAAGCTTGCAAAGTAGCATGCAATTGTTTTAGCAAAATCTATTGCTTCCACCATCTTCATTCCTGGGATTATTCATTCTGCGAGGTGGCAAACTGCCCATACTACTTGTTAATTAAATAAAGTGTTAATTACCATTATTAAAGGCATCCTTGATGGTTTTGCTGGAAAAAGACATCTGCTGGTAAGGACCAGTGGATTTCCACAGTGCACTGGTTAACGCTGGCTGACAAGAAGTGTCCACTTTGAGGTCCACCTGATTTTCACTAGTCCTTGCTCTATCAGAATTTGAGATGTTCAGCCCATACACACCATCCTCATAAACGAGAGAAGAATCTGATCTGTTGAGACTGCTTAGAGACACATACACAACAGCTTCATTTAAGTAGAATGTATTTTCGCCATGTAAGCTGTCCAATTGATTATGTCCCATTATCTGCAGAAGGGGGAAAAAAACCCAGAGAACAGCATTTTCACTTTTGTCCAGCACCAGAATCACAGAATCACAGAATATCTTGAGTTGAAAGAGACCCATAAGAATCATGAAGTCCAACTCCCTGCTCCTCACAGGATCACCTAGAGCTAAACCATATGACTACGAGCATCGTCCTGAAGAATCCTTATACCAGGATACATAAAATTAACTGCCAGACAGAATGGGGATTCATAGCCAACAGTCACCTCATTTCCCAGAAGTTAACCTCAAAACATGTTAAATTGGATGTGCTTTCAGGAGTAAACAGTTATAAACTAGTACATTTTGCCTTAGCTCCCCTCAAAACGCAGGAAAACTCATTAATAATTGCAAAATAGCAAATAACAAAGGGTTGCTACCTGGAATGCACTGAGCATTGCTGACTCCTTTGAGGGGGTTAACATTTTGCCCCATGGCTCAACGAGGTGCCACTTCACGTATATAAATCTATGTACACTGCAATCCAAAAATAACACTGTACCTCACGTAGACAGGTAATCATAGAGAACAGGACTGCAGCAGTCAAATTGGGGATGGCAAACAGCATTCAGCAAGTGGACGTGGCTCCCAGGGGCTGCAAATGCAACTCCTGCAAAGACTGCCTGCCTGGAGCTGTTTATCAAGGCTGAGCTCACAAAAAAGCAGCAGTAGCAGTGTGAGTTACTGCAATGTTTGGTCATCCAAAACAAGCTAGGTTCAGTGTAATGGTGAAAACACTGGGCTAGGAATACTGGCTGACTGGCAACCACCCAGCCAGCCCTGCTCCTGCAGGGAGTACGGTAGTGGAAAACGCAGGACAAAGATGATCCCAAGGCCTGGAATGCATCCAAAGCCATGCAGTTTACTTGAAATAAAAATACAAGTAGTCTTACACATGAAATATTAGATTAAGAACTACTACTCTCTGACACTCAGCATTTCATTATTTTGCCTCTCCGTCTGTGCAATTCCGGCCATCCCTGCATCAGGCTATCATTCTTCAACTTCCTCTGCTCAAAAGACTTCAGAAGTCCCATCCATTAAAAGTGACAGGCAAGTTCAGTTTCAGTTTTACCATCCACTTCTTAAGCACTGCTAAACAAGTCAAAATTGTACTGCAAGCTATACTAGTAAGAAGTGTCTTCCTTGTTTGGGCTGGGCAAGCATATATGGATAAGTCATGTTCACACAGTGTTCACAAAAGCCAGATGAAAAGGGGGAGGTCAGAGGCCAACCCTTCACCCCCTCATGCAGGCACAGGCTTAGACACCAAATGGTCACTGCCCGTTATGGGTCAGTTGCCAGCTGAAAAACTAGGGAGGTGATGGCCTAAAGAAAGGCTCTACAGATTTTCTTGTGAAAATGAAAACCTGAGCAAAAAAAAAAGCTGTTTGGGTCAGCGAGCTTTCAATATATGCAAAAGCCAGGCAAAATGTTTTGATTTTCAGGTGCTTTAGAGAACAGTAATGGAAATCAAGACCATACTCACCGAGGCAGGGACTAGAAGCCAGGTCCCAACTGGCAGGTGAGCACCAGACAGTTGAGTTCAGAGTCAGCCTCTATCCTTCACCCTCAACAAAAACTTACATCATTTTTAGTGTTAAATGCTTAAGCAGCTTCAGAGCTACTTTAAATTGCATCCCCTAATAATAACCATCTCCAAGGAATTATACTGTCAGCAATGGAGTCACACACCAACCTCTTCCCCTAAGGAGTGGCTCCTTTCAGGGGAAGGCCTGACACGTGGGGTTCACAGGAGCCTGGAGCTTCCCACCCCTGGAGCAGCCACTTTTCCTCACTGAAGACAGTGCTGTTGTCCAGGAACAAGGACAGCAGCCAAAGACTTCACTAAAAGCTTTGTATGTGTCAAGCATTACAATAATTTAGCCTTCCTACAAGAGGCAGGACACACAATGTATCTTGCAAACACAGCAGCAAAGCAGAATATAACACAGATTCTCACAATTTCCATCTCTTCAATTTAATACCCATCCATCTGAGTTTGGCTTCTGTAGGGCACCCAGCTTAAAATCACAGAATGGCTAAGACTAGAAGGGACCTCTGGAGGTCATCTGATCCAACCCCTCTGCTCAAGCAGGGCCACCCACAGCAAGTTGCCCAGGACCATGTCCAGATGGCTTCTGAATATCTCCAACAATAGACACTCCATGACCTCCCTGGGTAACCTGCTCCTGCTCGGTCACACTCACAGGAAAAAAGTGTTTCCTGATGTTCAGAGGGAACCTCCTGTGTTTCTGTTTGTGCCCATTGCCTCTGGGCCTATCACTGGGCACCACTGGAAAGAGCCTGGCTCCATCCTCTTTACTCCCTCCATTTAGGTATTTACATACATTAACAAGACCCCCATGAGCCTTTTCTTCTCCAGGCTGAACAGTCTCAGCCTCTCCTCATAGGATAGATGCCCCAGTCCCTCAAACATTTTTCTGGCCCTTCACTGGACACCCACCTCTGCCTCGCTCCGCTCAACCCTCTCCACCCCCCCCACCCCGTAGCTCTATGTGTCTCTTGTACTGGGGAGCCAGAACTGGACACAGCACTCCAGGTGTGGCCAGAGTAGAGGGGAAGGATCACTTCCCTTGACCTACTAGCAACACTTTGCCTAATGAAGCCCAGGAGACCATTAGCCTTCTTTGTGGCCAGGACACATTGTTGGCTTATGGTGTCCACCACGACCCACGGGTCCTTTTCCGCAAAGCTGCTTTCCAGCTGGGTGGCCCCCAGCATATACTGATGCATGGGGTTGTTCCTTCCTAGGGGCAGGACTTTGCACTTCCCCTGGTTAAACTTCATGAGGTTCAAACAAAGCCCTTGGATATGCCTGTGCCTCAGCTTCCCACATGCTCACTCATTACATTGTCAACCAACAAAACCCAGATGTACTAGTCTGTTCATCAAGGAAGGTCTCTCTATGTCTGCAGTCGGGGATATAATTACAGTGGGGAACCACACACCTCATAGCTCCCTGTGGATGACAACAGGCTACTTTGTTGACCGTGCTTCCAGTGCCAGAGGAGTTTCTTCTGCATTTTCACACTGTCTCTTTCTCTCTCCACCATTTTCTGGCCCTCCTGGAGCCTCTCCAAGCTCTGCTGGTACTCCTGCAGCTGCAGCGCCAGTCCCTGTCGGCTCTTCTCCAGCAGCTCCTCCTGGCACCTGCACTCCCTCTCCCGCTGCCCCAGCTGGCCCTCCCTTGCCTCCTGCTCCCGCTGCCGCTGGTCACATTCACGTAGCCACCGCTGCTGCTCCTGCTGAAACTGCTGCTTCAGCTTGTGTATGTTGGCCAGCTCCACCCTTTGTTTTTCCAGATTCTGGCATTTTTCTTGTTCCAGAAGGAGGTTTAGCCGAGAACCATGGCCCCGACCAGTCTTCTCATTCTCTTGCAGAAGTAACCTACGGAGCTCTCTGTGGCTGTCCTGGATAGCTAGTGCTGCCTAGACACCACAAAAAAATCAGACACAAATGCTGAAATATTAGCATTAATCCATTTCTGTATTTTTACATAGAAGCATTGTATGCAAATACTTCAACCTCCCATAATATCGGCGCTAAATGCTTTTGATGAGGTTATTCCTCATGCAAGTAGAGAAAATGCTGTGTTCATGCCTTTACCAAGACATGTTTCTAAAAGCACTCAACCATTTCAAGCACTTTTCACACAGCTTCTGGTTTACACTTATTATTATACGTTTACGTTACAGCTGTGCATATGCACTTCAGTTACAGCTGGGGTCCTGTTCTGTCAGAGGATGTTAAGACACAGAGGAAAAATGATTTTTCATGTTAAAGAGGGCATTAAGGCACTGGGAATGCTACACTCAACAAAGTATTCCTAACACAGATGTGGCTTATACAGATAAAACTGTACTGTTTCCAGCACAACTCACTCCAACCCTAAGGCTCTCCTTGCTAACTGGCAACAGTGCAGTCCTACTAACATCAGTCCTACAGGCACCTGCCAACAGAGCCATGGCACCAGGACCATACTGCTACATGCACCTGACCAAGATACCTGTGCTGGCAGAAATCTGCAGTATAGTAATGATTTCAGTTTTGATGTTTCAGTAGTTTATTTTACAACTGAGAGCGCTATATTCCGTCCTTCACAAGGATGTTGTGACATTGTTTGCATTAAAGATTGTGACATCCTCCAATAACACAAAAATAAATAGCTGGGATTAAGAAGAAAGAAAAGCAAGAAAGCCCTAGATCTGCTGAGGCACTTATTGCTCAGCCTATCTTCAAGAGCTGGCATGGGAATCTACTTCAGCAGACATTCCCAGAGAATTCCCACAGCCCTGTTACCCCACGCTGTCCACCCAGAAAGAGTTTTTAACTTTATGCAGTGTGCAGTTCCCACTTTTCTTGCCTCTTCCTCCAGTATTGGGTCAGTTCCAGTGATTTGTAAACAGGGCAAGGACAGGATCCCTGCTTGTTTCTCTGCACCTATACTGCCAATTCATGGTCTGAATGATTAAGGCACTATCCCAAGCCTTACTGCCTTACTGCCCCTCTCGTATTAAGCTATCTCTTTTTCAATTTTTCAAAAATTTTGCCTGAATTACAAGCTTTTTATTTCGCTTTTGCATTGCTTCAATCCACTTAACTTCTAAGCCCAAGGTTTCCAGGATTATTATGAAATATGCTAACGTCAAGAGGGTCTAAAAATTAAACATACTTAAATGAAATATTTTAAAATAAAACTATAAAACTGCATCTAAATAAGAAAAAATAAGTTAAAACATTCAAACTTAGCATGGAAGAGGCAAAAACTTCAGTCTAAGGCCCTACAGAACATATGCAATAATTAATTGAGATCGAAATATCTAAATTGGGTTGAGTTTGCTATGTAAGTGGCAGAGGCACTGTTTACTAATAGCCAGGAGAATTTTCTAAACAAAATACTAAAATTTTTCAATATTTTGAACTATAATTTTAGAAATCTGTACATGAAATTACATCAGTTCTGTTAAAGCCATCATTTTACTTTCCCCCTAGATTTTGGGGGGGTGGGGGGTTGATCTCCAAGCCAGCAAGCAATATTCAGTTCTTAAAAGAAACCTACCACTGATGTAGAATAAAAATATATTATATGACAACTTATGCAACAGTCGGTAGAGATAAGTATTCACTGACATGATGTCTAAAAGTAGGGCAAGATGAAAACAAACATTAAGAAGTAAATTATTAAGACTAATTACTCTACAAAGTTAGCAGTGGAGTAGTCACCTGTATGCTGTACAAGAGACGGGTTAAGTTCTGGATTGTTTGTACAATCTAGAAAATAAAAGAGAAGGATTTTCAAAGGTTTGACCACTGTTAACTAAATAGTTACTACATTCTGTCTGGGGTTTAAATAAACTCACCTCTGTCCCTGTAGATCCTGGGAAACTCATACTTCCTCCCTAAAATAAACACATGTTGCTTTAAAAAGTAGGTTTTAACTTTAGAATTGTATCATCTAGGTAATTTATTTTTTTTTAAACTAGTGGAGACATTCATATCACTCATATATGCAGTGCTGAGTCAAACCTTTTTGTGGGTATGTGAAAATACAAGCAATAACCTACAAAGACTAATAATTCATCAACACTGGAGTTTCTGTGGAAATCACTAGAGATTCTAAGCACAACTGTAAAAACAAAAATATTTCATCCACAATTTTAATCCTCTCATGACTAATGCTACACAGAAAAGACATTTCCATTCATTCTTTGTTTACTTGACAGTTTTGAAATACAGCAATCAAACTTCTGTGTATACAGCACAGTGGGTTTAGATTACTTATAGTAGGATGAAACAGTACAAGACTTTTCAAAAACAGTGACACTAATGGAGCAAGAAGCTAGCAGAAGTCACATCAGTGGGTTACGGTGAATGCCTTATACGTGCTTTGAGGTGCTGAGCAAAGGCTGTGTGCCCCCTATACTCTGCAAAATGCACCAGCGTGGATACTACTGTCCACTGCAGCAAGGCTCAGCCCCTTCACACTTTCCACCCTGCTCCATTTTCCTAAGAAGCTTTCTAAATTTATGGGGTGAAGCCACCCATAATCCCTTCATCATGAAGAACAGCTCCTCTGAGAAAGATAAGGTGAAACGGTGGAGAAATAAAATACAATCCCTTCTGAGGCTACACTGAAAAGACTTCCAGTATGATTTTTCTCTTTTTTTTTTTTTTTTCAGAGGAGCAGAGGAGGGTTTGTGGAGTATTTGCTCGCTCTCTCCGATTTTCCTAAGTTCTCTACTGAGTCTCATTTTCCACCACAGAGAGCAAAGGAGCTGCTCCATTTAGCTGCAATAACTGAAAATGTAGATTAAAAAGGCCAGGCCCCGAAACACAGCTCAACGCAGACAAGCTAGGGGGAAAGGGAGCACCGGCTGCAGCATTTCTTCCACTTCTCTCTCTCGTTATCTCTGTTCGGTATTTCCCTCCATTCCCTCTCCACGTCCTCACCTCCTCCTCCGCTTCTCACTGCACCCAGGAGCCACGTAACTGCTCGGCTCTGCTGTGAGAAGCAGAAGACCTTGCACGGATGCCTCAGTGCAACACAAGGACTAACACAAGGGAGCTCCACTTTCCCTTTGCTAGGCGGCCAAGATGAGCAGCAGGCAAGGAGAAAGAGCAGGGCTGAGAGAGGAGAAGGAGATGCCGGCAGGGTGAGGAAGAGGAGAGCTCACATGCTGAACAAGAATGGGGCTTCTTTCAGTTTTTGAAGCCCTTTTTAATTTAATAAAGGAGGCGTACAGGGGCATTGAAGGCTTAGCTGGCTGTGGCACGGCCAAGGGCTAGCAAGTGGCCGCCCCAGGTGCCTGTGGTCTCCTCACTGCAGCACCACTTGAGCGCTGGGGGACGAGCCCAAGGCAGGTTTAGTCGAGCTAGCCGGGGTGACAGCAGCATTGCAGCTGCACCACTACAGCTTCAGCACAAGCCCTGTAAGTCCAGCTAGGTCCGAAGCAAATATATTCAGCAGTTTAACCTGTGCTGCAGGCCACCACCACCTCCCTGCCACTCTTCCCTAGCACCTTGGTTCAGAGTGATGAGCAGCAGTGGAGATGAGGACGGTCAGATCCCAGGGCAGGCTGCGTGCACAGCGCCTCAGACAATCCCCCGGAGATGCGATTACGAGGCAGGAGCAGGGGGGACGAGATGGAGACCACCTCTCACAGCTGCCTGCTTGGGACGCCACGTGTTGCACAGGCAACACTCTTCCTTCTGATGCTTGGTCAGCGTCTAAGCTCCGAGCTGGGGGCTTTCGCTCCGGCTGTCCGGCTCTTGGTTTCCCAGGCCAGCTGGCCTGAGCCCGGTGCTGCTGCCCCACCACCCCAGGACTGCCCACCCGGCGACCGAAGGCGGGCAGGAGAACATCCTCCGCCCTTGAAAGCCCTTGCCTCGCCTGTTTCGTTTGCTCGTTCTGCCACCTCCTGGTAAGTCTAATTCTGACATGGTAAGATGTGCCATGAGTCTTGCCCAAACAGCAGGCCAGACCAGAAGAGTAACTTAGGGTGGAGGAGTTTGCTGCAGATGCCTCTAGTCCAGCTGCAGCCCAAAGTAGGGCTACCTTCAAAGTTAGATGAAGTTGCTCAGGGCCTTCTCCAGTCAAATGTGGGAAACCTCCAAGGATGGAGACCCCACAACCTCTCTGGACAACCTGCTCCTGCTTGATCCCCCTCATGGTGATTGGTTTTTTTCCTTACATACAGTGAGAATTTCCCTTGCTGCAACCTGTAGACTTGGATGCTCATTGTTTTGGTGTGCACCTCTGAGAAAAGCCTCGCTCTATCTTCCTATAACCCCAATGGAAGTGTTTTTATGTGGAGCTGGAACTTTTAATGGACTAGATTTGAGCCCCTCTATACTCTATTAGGTTATTTTATTTCCCCTCACCTAGCTTCTGTGCTCCCTCACTTGGACTTTTGTCTCCATCCCATTTTTTCCACACACACTCTTCTACCTAATCCCTTCTAACACAGCGGTCTGGTAAGACGACGACCTAGAGCTGAACATGAGGCAAGGTTATAGGCAGATTAGTGTATTAGCAGGAGTCTTCCAGAAATAGCTAGAAAAAAAAGCCCCAAGGTTTCAGGCACACAAGCCCTCTTTCAGATCTGATGCAAAGACAGTATGCTAAGTATCTCCTTTTCTAGCAAACTTTGCTTTCCATTTCAAGTCATGTATCTTCTATTCTTGCCTCTCCCCTTTATTCCTTTCGTGGTCCTGTTTCTCCACCTAAGGACTCCACAATTACAGTTCACTTTATTTCCACACAGTAACTCATACTGCTCTTACTCTAACACTTTGCTGCTACATGAAATTTGCCATTCCTAATTTTGCCCAGAACTGCCTTTTGATTCTGCTTTTTCCCCAGAGTAGCTTATGAGTTATAGGACTTTGAAAAATGGGCAGTTTCTCTTCTATTCACTAATTGCTCCATTTTGTTTTAATTCAAAATTCTGAAGCAAGCTGGTGTAAGACAATCCATCCTATTTTATGTGCTTGTTCTCAGGACGAAGTTCTTCCAATGCATAAGTCTTTCTTGCATTAGCTGAGGTCTCAGTCATTGCAGGAGACTTTCATCATCCTGTGAATAGGAGGAGGGAGTAGAGGGAATACTATTGTCAGCTCCATAGAGATGGATGTATTGAATGATGACAGCAGAGAACCAGGCACTTAAGTGGCCCATACAAGTGGTACGAAAACACTGTGGCTGTTATGACAACCCACCGATCTGTAAGCCTGGCAGAAAAATCGTTCTGCATTTGGATTGTTTATGTTTGCTTTTTAAAAATTCATTATTAATTGCAGTGACCTCTACTAAATTGAATTATCTGGATTTGGGTGAAATGTGCCTATCCTGTGCTTTGTGTTTTGGAAGTGTCTATAGCTACCCCATAAAAATTTGGACAGCATTTACATTCCCAGTGCCCAGAGTGCGATGTGCAACACAGGAAGAAAAACTGGTTACAATACCTTATCCTCTAGATTGGCACCTGCCATTTCCTTTTCAACACTGAGATCAACTTCACATGATTCTTCAACTTCTGTTATTTCTGCATTTAACAAATAAAGCCCCAATAAAATGCAAGAGAAAGGTATCAAAGCATATTCTGACTAGCGAAACAAAGGCCACGCTTTTTTACAGCTACTCACAGGATGCTGAAAATGGAGATTTACATAATTTGGAGTTACATAATGGATTCTAGGCTGGGGTAAAACAAATTTGGAAGCCAGGATGGCACAGGTGGAACAATCAAGTTTTTCCTACCTTAAAAATTAGTAGTGTTTCACTTACACAAATTTGAAGTATAGCCATATCACTAAAAATGCTCTGCAGCAATAGTTTTTACAGGACTTTATTTGCATTTTTTTTGCAAGAAATCCATGCTACCTTTTACAGCTGAAATTATTAGGATGTCAATCCTGGTTTCCAGGCCTTCTGACAAAAATTGGCTGACTTGGGGAATGGCCTATACTGCAATACAGACTTGCTGTGGAGCTAAGCCTCAATGATGAGAAAGTGTATGGAGATATGCAAATCTGACTCAATATTGCTGAATGCAGGCATGTGCTACAGAAAAGGTGCAGTGGAGGCAAACTATCCATTTACTTCAATGAAGTTATATGACAATTTACACTATCTGAGCATTTGCCCAAAGACAACTTTTATTACATTATCTTCTATTGATTCTGGAATACACTGAGAAAGCTTTCCAAAAAAAACAATCCAGTATCAATTATTTTAGCACTCTGAATATGTAAAAGCATCAAATTTTACTCACCACCAGGAACAGATTCCAAGATTTCACTGGCACTACATCTGTGCTTCACACTTAATTCCTCAATGCTTTCCTCTGGTGATCTGTCTTTTTCACTCACTTGTGATGTCATTACAGCAACATGGAGACTTTCAACTAGAGAGGAAAACATGCAGAATTACAGAGGCCCCTTAAATAGCTCCTTAATGCATAAATCAATGATACAGAATCATAGAATAATTTAGGTTGGAAGGGACTTTCAGAGGTCATCTAGTCCAATGCCCTACTCAAAGCTGGTGGAACAAAATTGGGTTGCTCAGAGCTTTGCACAGACAAGCTTTTAACATCTCCAGAGATGGAGACTTCACAGCCTCTCTGGACAACCTGTTCTGGTTTTTGACCACCCTCACAGTATATAATTTTTCCTTTCATTTAACTGGAATTGCCGGTGTTCTAACTTGTGCCTCTTGCCTCTCTCTCATCCTATCACCATGTGCCTCCGCAAAAAAATCTGTCTTCTCTGGATCCTCCTATTACACAGGAATGAGATCCCGCAAAGCCTTCTTCTCTCAAGGCTGAACAGACCAACTATTTCAGCCTCTCCTCAGATGTCACCTTGGCCAAGGTGACAGCCCCCTAGTCACCTTGGTGCCCTTCGCTGGATTTGCTCCAGTTTGTCAATGTCTCTTGTCCAGAGGAGCCCAGCACTGGTCACATCAGACTCTGCCTGCTTACATATGATGTTATACACTAAACATACCCCTTATCTCACAGTCTGGCAGGTGCCACCTTGTGCATCTGACAAGCATAAACTTGAGAGACTTCTCTTCAATGCCCTTTGCCAAGTTTTGACACCGCCAGTTCTTGACACTTGACAGAATAGCAGCACAAGGCAACAACACAGCTGTACTTTGTTACCTTGAATTATCTGCCCATGTGAAGGGCCACCAGTCCACTCTTCCCATGCAAACTCACCTTCTTTGAGTGCCGCTGCCAGCAATGAAGCAGCCTGTGGAGTTTCTCCAGAATCAGGTTTGACAAGCAGGTGAGGTTCTACATGAACATCCTCAAACCCACTCATATCTCCCAGTTCTGCATAGATATGCAACTTCTCTTCCAAATAACTACAGATCTGCTGGTCCTGGTTACTCAGTAATTCTGTCAACAAAAATTGAACACTGTATTAATATTTTTTATCCTACAGGCAAAGCATGATCTCCATTCAACCTTCTAATCCTTACGCCACATAGACATTGCTAGCTCGAGCTAGGCCTTTTATAAGTGGCCAGGAACCAAATTAATCCCATAGTCTGTCCTAAAGAAAGCTGGCAGAGACCCTGGCAGAGAGTGCCCTGATGAGGGGGCCTTGGCTGCGCTCTGTGGTCCTCAGCTACCTCCTGTTGCACCCACAGTGATCAATGCTGGAAAAGCACTTGGCTCAGGCAGCCAAAGATGTGCTGATTCAGTGCCTCAACGTCAAAGAAGAATACCTACTCTCAGCAGAGGATGCCCTTCCCTGTGGCTCTCAACAGGAAGGACATTGCTGGAACTTCTCTCCTTGCAGAAGCATAAAGATGTGGAATTTAGGTGTAGGGGAACTAAGGAAGCAGAATTTATCCCTATCAGCTACATTTTCAGATAAAAATAACAGCAGCAAAGGATGAAATGCCATTAATAAGCACAAAGCCACACAATTACTGAAGATTTGAGGTATTTCCACAAACATGAAACTACCTGCTCCTGATGCAAATCTGGGAAATTCAGTGTTTATTCCGAAAGCATTCATTTTTCTTCTTCTTTTTTACTCACAGTAATGTAGCAAAAATATAAAATGTTTCGGAAAAAAGGTTCTCTTTCAAAACTCACATTATACCATCAGATCACCCCAGGTTTCTCTGCTGTGACTCTGCCTATTGAGCCACTCTGAAAGCACCAGCCAGTATGGGCACATGATTCATTCATCCTGAACTCAGGATGCAGGAGCTCTCAGAGTGGCAGGAAAAGTACCACACCTTGACATTTCTGAATTCTGGATGCTTTGGCCTCAGCAATACGTCTGTCCTCATCAGATTCACTCATTTTTCCTTCTTCTTCTTCCTCTGGACAACTTCAAAGATGAAAGACAAAGGTGAATAAAGCAAAATCTGCACATCATACATTCATCTTCAGTACAGTGTTGTATTCATAATAAACAGAACACAACATTAGCACCAACTTTTCCTACAATCCAGAAGCATGCCATTTGTCCACTTCTTTAGAAAGCAGTAACTGGACATAAACCAGACTGAAGAACTCCTTTTAATTCTGGCAAGGCTGCATCGTGCAGCAAATGGGTGGTTGGCCCTCAAACAGGTTTGCTGTGCTAAGCATAATTTTGGGCCCCATAAGGAGCAATGTTTTCCCTGCCATTCGTAAGGAGCTGACATGAAGATAACAGGCATGATCGGGGATTGCCCCAAGATGGTTGTATGGACACCTGCAGGACTCTGGAAAGCATCCAGTGCCAAAAGCAAAGGTGAGGGAAACTTACAATGGCTGGTAAGGACACCGAATGGGGAGTGGGAAGGGTCTGCTGATTCAGTGGGAAACCAGAAGTAACACGGGAAGTTTGGCTGAAGTGACAGTGAGGTTTTGGGGTCTGTGAATCCTGAGCTCAGAGGAAAACCCAACCTCACAGGATGTATCCAGTGCAATGCAGAACAGAGAGTACGCTGCCACAAATGTCCAACCAATCTCCCATCTGCTTTGGACTGCCAGGATGAAAACCAAAAGCCTTTTCCTCTACCTTTCCACTGCATCTTGAATATGCCTCATCCAGTTGTTACGTTCCTCTTTGGAGTTGGTATGAACCTCATACATCTCAGGCCCTGCAGATGAAGCGCTGATCAGGAACATCCCCCTCTCTTCGTTGGCCACTTCTCTTACTATGAGCCTCTGAAGGGAGATAACGGAAGGCTTCTGGTCCTGGGGGAAACAGTCACAGCACACGCAAATAATAAATGACTCTCTTATAAAATATCACACTTTCAGAAGAGCATGATTTTCCAATGAATTGGAGTAATTCTAGTCCTGGTACAGTAAGACTATGTATGTTCTCACCAGGTGTAAAAGGCTGCAAGTTTTGAGTATTTGGACATCTTTTTAAACTATTTTTAAAAATACATTATAGTATTTATGAACAAGTAAAGCACTGGGTATGTGCTAAAAAGTAAATCCCAGAGGCTCAATGATACTGAAGCACAGTATTCATATAATGTTTATATTTATATAGTTTGGGAACTTCTCTCCATGACCTTTCATGCATATTATGTGTGTTTACTACTACATTTGCAGTTAAAATTATTCTTCTGTTTTGTTTTACAGAACCAGAAGTTAAAATTTATTTTAGATAATTGAAAGAGCCTGATCTACTTCCCACCTTCATAATCAGATGAGGTTTGACACTAAAAATAGCATTCTGTTATTTTCACCCATCTTCCTAAAAAAATGACTTAATTTTGAAAATAAACTTAATTTTCCATATACTGGCATATTACTTTTCTGAATACAATACCAGGATTTTAGGGGAAAAAAACCCCATTATGTGGGAATAACTTAGAAAAGGACCTAATTTTCAAGAAATATACAAATAAAAGTGCAATGTGTATATTCAAACATCTGGTAATATACTTACAACAGCTGCAAAGATGTATTTTTGATCTTTTTCTTGTAAGAACAGTAGTACATCAGTTAGAAGCAAAGCTAATGTCTCTTAAAATGAGAAAAGAAAAATAATGTTTTTTAATTAAAGTCATTACAATTATAGTTAATTTCCTCTTTTATCTTTAAAAAGAGAGAAGCCTTGATCAATAAATATCCCACAGAATCCTACAGTAAACTAAACAGGAAATATCTGGATTAGCCTATGGTTTGCATGAAGCAACTGCACGTCATCACTTTGCATCTCCCAGGAACGACCACACTTTCTGCCATCTACCCTCCTGCAGCACCATGCTGGAACACTAGCCCAGGGAAAGAAGAAATCCTCACTCTAATGTCAGTACAGCTTCCCCTAGCCACTCACAGGCAACCTGGCAAAGACCGTCCCACATAAATTTCGTTTTGCCTACGCTGTAAAATATACAGCACACTATTACACTGGTAAAAGTATTTCTGGAATAACGATGAACACATAGCTTTATAAAGTTTTACAGCAAATATTAGTAAGCTCCAAAAAAACCCAACCCCTACATGTGATTAACACCAAAATCAAATTCTGGGCTTGCATGTAAAAATGAGGCTCCAGCCAAATGTGGCTTCAGATGTTCTTTTATGCTGTGGCTGTCCCAGCACCACTGAAGAACAGCATGTGATTTTTCATGCATTATTTTCAATGGCAAGTACTGTAAACAATATAAATGTGTAAGTCAAGACTCTATGTTATGGAATGAAACTGCAAACCGATGAACTAAAAGGAGGGAACTGGAAGAAGAAATGCAGCTGACAGCTTTGTATGTGAACTTGTCTTCTTACAGTGGATTACCCACAAGCCATGGCAGCTTCTGGATCAACTCTTCTAGCAATTAGTGGCATATTCTCAATACCATTACCTCAGAAATTAATGTTTGCAAAAGAGTGTAATAAAGTATTTTCAATCTTAAAGCAACCAATCTTCATGTGTTACTGGCAAATAAAGAGTTAAAGGACTTTACTGCTCAGATGGAATACCTTTGAAACGACCAGTCGCTGTCTTCCAGTACACTAAACCTTCATGAAGTATCATCCTCTCTTTCCTCATCAAGTCTTGCTTCCTAAAAACATGGCCATTTTTCAGCTTTGTGTATGTTTTGTTTTCAGTTCTACTGAGAATTTCCAACAGCTTTTGCTTTTTTTCATATTCATTCACTTTCAAATCTACTGCTGCAATCATGTCCTTAATTAGACGAAGGGCTTTGCACAGGTCTTTATGTTCTGCTGTTCCTTCTGTATGAAACAAACAAAAAAAAACCCAACATGATAGTAGTCAGCATATTCAGGAGAAGATATCATCCCCTACTTTCTGGGAACAATCAACATGATGCAAAGCTTAAATTGATAAATACATCATTTTAAGTTAAGAGGCATCTACTTTTATTTTACTTGCCTACTAAAAGATGACATGTACCTCAGATTTATTCATTAGTCAGAACAACACATGGAATAGTTTCCGACATATTTATGAGCTGTTAGCACTTAAAAATTTAACTGGCTAAGTAAATCATATAGTATATTACTCTTCTGGCTAAGTAAAAAAAAACTTGAAGCAGGATTGCAAGCACAAAGTGTTTGCATTTGGACAAGGAACTTTCTGTAACGCTCATTTATTGCCCATTTGGGGGGCAGTATCTGTAAGTTATTAGTATTTCTAAATGCTCTATGAAATTCCAGAGGTCATTCAAGCTTTGTTTGAAAAACTGGAGAGTAACTTATGAAACGTTTGCCTAGCCCTATTTACAAGACTCCAGAATTAATTTCAAAGAAGGTGCAGATGCATGCCTGAATTAGTTCACATACTCTAGTCAAGATCTTTTCCTAAAACAAGTATGCTCTTCTGGACTTCCGTGGCTCACCCGGCTGGAATATTGGAAATCTTCGCAGCCCAGCCTTGACAAAGACTACATACACCAGACACCCTGTTTAGGTGATGTTTGCCCGAACATTAGATATTTACGTTGCCCTGGTTCTCCACAGAGCAGTGAATTTCATCTTTTGTTATATTGTAGCAGTGCATATTCCTTAGGTTAGAAACGCGCTAGAATTCCAGATATGAAGCAACACTTTAGCTTTTATTCACCTTTTGAGTATTGCAATATCCTTTCAACCAGAACAGGGTATTTGGTGATTCGCTGGGTGACGAGCAAAATGCACTCAGGGATTCCTCGGCGTCGCGCCAACAGGTTACTATTTCTCAGCTGCACAGATACAAATATATACCTTAAGTAGTAAATGCGTGTTAAACCACCAGTGGACTAATAAGAAATATGATCTAAATGCACTAGAATAAGCTAAAACAAAATGCTGGGTTATCTGAACCAGCCCCAAGGAACAGTTGCTGCCCTGAGGGATGAGGTGTACTATAACAGGAACATGTGTGTAATACATACTGGATGCCAAAGGTTTCTAAAATTTGAAAGAAAAATGTAATTTATAAGCTCACTGGTTAAAGAGGAAAAAACTTTGCCATTTTTATTAGCTATTAAAAGTGAGTTACTGAATATAATTTCAATCCTAATCTAAGTAAAAGCTACGTATCTTTTTCCTGAGTATTTTGTCAATAGTGATCACGATCCAAGTTTTTATTAAACTTACTTTAATAAAATTCTGGAACTTCTTGTTTTGTTGCAACTCTTTAAAGAGATTAACAGCTTCTTTTTGATGGCTGCAAAACTCTCCGTATATTTTCTTCATTTTAGTTGCATTTTCCTCTGAAAACTGAAGAAATTAATAAGTGAATTGTGCTCAACATTGTGCCTAACAGGAAAGTGTATACATTTAATTAATGTATTTTGTACAAATATGGAACTTCTATGCTACTTGTTTCTCAAGTTCTCTGAATTTCACTAACAGGGCCTGTCACTCCAGAATGAAAATGGGCTAGCTGTTTTCGGGAGCAAGAAGAGGAATGTAGGCTGGAGAGAGCACAGGCAACCTCCGCTACAGTCTTGTCAATAACAGCTAGAACAATTACTGTAATTCACCTCTTTGCAATCACAATCCCTTTGAGACTTATTTGCATTTGTCTGATCTCCATACTGCTTTTAGACAAGATAACGGTTCAGCTTCTTTATTTCAGTGGAGTGAAAACTGACTGACCAAAGGTGAAAAGCCACACTGTTCTGATTGCAAGGAACTGAAGGGTGACCAGTGAGCAGTTCCTGTTCTGCAGCCACCATAAATACGCTGTGACCACCCCTTCTCTAGTGAGCAGCAACTTGAGATGCACCATGCCAGATCGCTACAAGAAATGAACACGTAGTTTCTTTTCCATCATCAGGCAATTCTTCACACCTCTGCTCAGCTGTTAAAAAAGTGAATCCATTGCTTCCATTTTTTGCAGTCCATGGCATGATGGCAGCATCCTTCTAATGTGAGCAGGACCAAGTTCATCATTCTCCTTATCACCAGTACCATACAGGTAGAAGTTCATCCCAAGTTCGTCACAGTTACCTGTCAGACATTATCGCCTCTCATTGCTACTTCACCCTGCAACCATCTGGAGGGAACAGTCTTCGAATTTTATGAGGCAACCATAGCCCTGTTCTTGCCCACAAAAGTTTTTGACATCAATACATTGTTTAATTTGGGAACCTTGAGTACATAAAGGATTAAAAGAGCTGATGCGTCTACCTGCTGCACAAGGATGTCTCCAATTCTGCTGATGACAAAATTACGTTCGCTCCCTGCCTCACATGATTCCTGCCGTCTCTCCTTCATTCTGCAGAAGAATTGCCTGTGCATCTCCAGTAGCTCATCTAAGCAGGGGAATATTCTGTCCACTGTGCTGTGGTCCAGCTGCAGTTCTTCCTTCATCCCTCTCCTGAATATTTCAGACATAATGAACAGGGTATGGATGTGATGCACTTCTGTTTGCATCAGCTCTGCAGTATAAAAGAAAACAGCATAGTATAGTAATCACCTGAACATTTTGCACACCTTGTAAGATAGACTTCAGCAATATGCAAATATACAGTCATAAACATTTTTTTCTGTGTGAGCCTCAAACCTAATAGATTATGTCAGTAGGAAGACTTAATTTGTCTGGTTCTGGCACAGTTCTCTCAACTGTACCCCACTGAACAAGCTGGGGTTGCAACTGCTTGAGCTGGGGATTGGATGAGGTCCCTTCCAATCTCAACCGTTCTGTGAACAGGGCAGACATGTCCTGGTAGTCGCTACTCACCATTTCCTTAGCTCTAGGACAGATTGTAATTTGTGACAAAAATGTTCTTTGAACCTTCTTATTGTTCTGAGTTGAAGCATTCATTCTTCTGGACATAAAACATGTAGGTTCCCTCTCTATTTTCTACACCAAATTGTTTTTAAACCTATATGATGCTTTGAAATACTGACCAAAAATGACATCCTGCCTCTTGATGACATCCTTTTCTTGCTTGCTACAGAACACTGGATCCACAACAAGACTCCAGGACTCTGCCTCAAACTCTTGTGCATCTGTGCGGAGATCAGTCCACTGAGACAAATCCACATCATCTATGACGAAATGTGTATCTCATTAACACCAGGCATATGAACAGTAAGGGAAATACCTTTGCACATGCAAATTTATTTATATAGTAAGGGGAACACATCACAGGGATGAACTTTAGACAAGGCTTCTGCAAACACTGGCAGTGGCTTTACAACAGAGAAGCTTGCCAGATACTAATATCGTTAAGTGCTCTTCGTTTAGCAGATGAAGTGGCTTCCTATACCAACTAAGGAGTTTTTCTATTTTGCACTATCCAATACAGGTTATAAAATGCAACATCTGTGCAATAATTGTCACCTTCCATCATAAAAGAATCCATTGAAGAAAAGGTCCCTAATGCTTGTAACATCTCTTCAGACCGTGACTTGGGCCTCCAGGTGCTAGTCTCAGAGTCTTGTTCAGAAAACGGTGTAGGTCTTCTACAGCAGAAAAAAAAAAATTCCCACATTTATTTAATGGTTTCTATTTTCCTAGAAAAGCTGAATGATCTATTTAGCATAGTCCCCTGGCAGCTGCCCTCTACCTTTCAAAACTGGCACTGGGGACACTTTTGGACAAGAAGTGGGGCTGTGGCGAGCCTTCCCTCCTTCCAGCAGACAATCCGACAGGCACAGAGGAAGAAAGCACCGGGGAGAGCACCATCTGTGAAATGTCTCCAGGCAGGGAATCTGTGAGGCAAAGCACAACACAACATTTTGACAAACAATGTGGAGTATGTCACTAACAGCACACTTACATTGAGAAATACTATCTGGTGTTCATATTGATCAATACTGGGTATCGAGAATGTCCCCTTGCCATGGTACAAGATCGTGATGCTCTCCCACGGAATATAAAGATAAACCTGTAGGCAAAGTGGAATAGCTCCAGCGGGGGTATTATTGAGAATAAAACAATCTCAAATCATACATGCTCTAACACTGCAACCTGAACATAGCAGATCCAAACGTATGTGCATATGGTAAATGACATACTCAAAAGCACGAGACAGAAATGACTACTTTTGATTTTCATTCTCACTGAAAAGAAAACATAGTAAAACTCCCACTCATTTTAGTAGAAGATGAGTTAAATCAACAGTATTTTCTTCAAAAAATCCTACTCATATTAGAGACACACACACTTTCTTACAGATACTGAAATGAAAACTAGAAACCACAAATGTTACAGGAAAGTTCATGTTGTCGGTCCCGTGATTTTTAACCAAGGCTTAACTTAGAAGTGCTAGGTTTACACCTCCTAACTTACTTGTAACACCGGCTTGGGGTTTGTTTTTATTATGGTACCTCTCCTGGGATTTCTGAAAAAAGAAGAATTTTATGAAATTGCAGTGAAATCATAGCTGATAACACATTGAGTAGTCAAGTCAGTAACTCACTTCCATATATCATCACAAAAAAGGGCTTCAAGAAAGTGCTCCTAAATTATGGTCCTAATTTATACCAGTAACTAATAAATCCAAGTTATTAGTTATTGGTAGATAACAATATTCAAAGTAAAATGATATCATTTGTACTACAACACAAAATCGAATCTGTTTATTCTAAACCGAGTCACTGAGCTACAGCATTCTACTTTCGCTGTACAAATATTGCCTGTTGAGGCTGCAAGAAAAGGAGTTCCCATTGAGGGCTTTATATTCAAATAAACTCGAAGCATTTGTGGCAGGGCACTACGTGAGGAAGCCTGGGTATCAGAGGCAGAATTGATCCCCCTTCCAAAGTGAACTTTTGCAAAACCTGTAGTAAAAGCCTTCTGTGCTTAGGCATGCATTTCACGTGAGGTGGGTCAGCGAACATTTTCTGCACCTCATTCTTGTTGAGATAAGCTGGGGGCGGTGGCGGCTCTTGTCTCCACTTGACAAATAACCCACTAGCCCCAGTAATTAAAACTGCCAGTTCAGCTGTCCTAATGCCCTGAAGTTGCCCAGAAATTTGTGCAGGTCTATGATGTGACAGCTATAACCAAAATAAATAAAACCACCTGATTTATGTCCAGTTTAAGGCTTGTTTATGCTGGAGAGTCTGTACGGAAACATGTTCTCCCTGCAAGCCACCCTGATGCAAAACCCAGCTACACCAGAAAGACACACTCCACTAACTGGAAAAATTACCTGTATCACTGTGGCACACTTCTCTACAAGTCCCATTTTGTTCCATGAGGGCAGAAGCCTTACACATCTGGTTTTGAAAATTATGTCTTTGTCATGACAACCTCCCCATGCATGTATTCCTACTTAAAATAAAGGCATATCCATCAGCTCTAGCACTGATTTTGCCCTGTCTGCAATGGCAGCTGAACACTGGGAGTGACTGCCTAGGCAGGCTGTGGAGTCCCCTCCTCCAGAGATTTTCCAGAACAGGTCAGATAAACATCTGCCCAAATTGTTACCTAGAAGTGAGGCTGCCTGAGGGTGAGGAGATGGACTAGGTCGCCTCCCCAAGTCCCTTCCATCTCTTCTTTCCATCAGTCCAGACATACAGGATCCCCCCTTCTACACAAGGGGCTATCTGTGGTTTTGAGGAGCTTTTCTTTTTAATCACTTTTGCATACTTCCAGGCACACCATTTCACAATTTGAGCTTGCAACTCTTCAAAAACAGAAATATCTCTCTAAACTCATTTCTGGCCCTCTTCTAAAAATTATTGTTCAAGCACAGTGCTCCCTCTGTTGCTCGTATTAGACATTTTGACACCCTCGCAGCCCTTTGCATACAGACACTGGGTCTGGACAGGCTGTGTATACTTTCTTTTTTCCTTCATGATGTTTCCAGACCCCTTGGAAAGCAGATAAGCTCTAGTAAGAACGGTGCGGTATAGGAGGTTACCTTGGTGCACACAGGAGCACACTCCTTGCAGCTCTTATGCACAATCATGTTGCAGTCTGAAAGAGAAGGCACGTTTCAAAGCCTGGCATCCAACAGGGTCCCCAGCCTGCAGAAAATGTTACTCTGAGGCTTCACCTTTTTCCCTCCCCCAGGTCCACTTACTGAAGTAGCCATGAGGATGCTTTGATGTTACAGCCCCTGGCTAGAAGGAAGTTTTTGTCTAATGTGCTGGGGGCTAGGAGATGGCTGTCCTCCCTTCTGATGCTGTTACCTGCCATCCTTCCTCCCTCTCCCTTGCCAACCTCAGCTCATTACATAAAGGAGGTACATCCAAATCTAGGCAAGGTTTCTTTTTGAAACCAAACACTGAACCAGGATCTCAAAGCAGGATTCGGAGCACTGTTAGTTCACATGCAAAAGCCAGCAACTACTTACAAGAGCACTGTAGTGACTCCTTTCCTAGGAGGGCCTTTTCACAAGCCATACATGGGATAACTCCTGAGAAAGTCCCATTTGTAAAATTGTGCCTGTTCAGTTTCTCTTTATCTTTGGTATCTTTATTTTTTGTCTTCATCCCCAACAGCAGAGGCAGGAAAAAAGAAAAAAAAACGGGGGCGGGGGGGTGGGGTGGGACACAACATTAGAAAAGAAGATAAAGTGATTCAATCTTAAAACCACTAAAACATTCCTTTTAAGAGCAAATGATTCTAAAACATTTATTCCCTGTCCTGGAAGACTTGTAACAGTATACTATATTATTACATCCAACATTGTTGAAGTCCTAAAATGATGCAGGCATTGCTTTCACTGGCAGCTAAGCCAGCAACCATTACCAAGGAAGACTGGCAGAAATACATTTATAAAGCTGCAAAAAGGGAAGGGCCAAAAAATAAAATTTAAGAAGTGTTATTGACTTGCTGCACATACAAATATTAATGCCTACATCTCCCTGAGGCATACATGCAGACTCGTGCCTCTGCAGTTAAAGCTGTAGTTCTGTAAATTTAGACTTGTCTTTAGATCTTAGAAGACATTAGAAATAACCTATTTTTAATGTGTGTTAATTAATAAATTCTGCCTATTTTTACAGTACTCCTGATGGTGTGAATATACATTTCTCCAAGCAGCCCTGGTAGTTATTCTTTAGGAGACACAGGCTAATCTATGGCTGCTGGACCAGACATACATGTTCACAGCCAGTTCTGCCACTTTTGAAGATACAGCCTCAGCCAACCATCTTCACATCCATGTACGTCAGGATATCCTGAGGCACAGGAGTGCGTACTAGAAAGCCTGCAAAACTGCCGAAAAGGCAGCTGGAAAGATCCTGTAGTCCAATTCCATCTCTCAAGCTGCTAATTGATGCCGTTAATCTAAATTTCAGATGTCTCAAAATTAAACCACAAATGTTCTAACCTACCTCCCATAGTATGTACGTTTGACTGCACAGGCCTCAGTAACTCTAAGCAGTGCTTAATCGTGCAAGAAGTCCCATTAACTTCAAATAAGGCAAATTCAACTGATTACATGCCAATGTAGAGGTTACAGACTCAATTCCTTATTGAGAGTAATTGCAAGTACAGGCCCATACCTCTTAATTTTATTTAACGAAGAAGATTATTTCTTAAAGGCAAGTCATACATTTAAACTTTGGCTGAATCATCAAATGAGACTACTAATAACATCCAAAAAAATGGCAAGGGAAATACTTGATATTGTTCAGCTAAGGCTACTGTTTAAAAGGAAAGCTCGTTTTTAATATGAAGGCCATTTCAGGGTATCCTGCATACATTTTAAAATTAAAAAATAAAGATAAAAGTTTCTTCCTACTACTTCTGTGGGTTTGTAATAAACAAGAACTTATCTTTACATAAAAATTTAGATCCTCATCTATAACTCATTTAATTACAGTGACATAATTATACATAATAATATAGACATAAATCCCAAATTACCTTGCACTTATTCCGTGTGCTGGTCATTCTGTTCATCAGAAAGCTGAAAGTCCGACTCACTTTACATTTTTCAGACTCATTTTTTGAGGGTACAATGTATTTATTCCATTCCTCCTCCTGAATCCTAAAAGAGAGACCCGTGAAAAACCCTCATTCCAGTGTGAACAGCCCCTTAAGACAGAGCAGAATCTGGATGGTGCTTGTTTTGCCTAACATTTACAATTACCTGTTTTATTGTGGGTTTAGCCGATGTTATTAAAAAGACCGCAATCCCTCTTTACATAAAAGGAGTAACACCAGCCTGTGGGCTTCTCTGAACGTTCAATGTGTTACAAGCTTGCCTCGATCACGGCTGATATCAAAAGCCCCCTTGCTTTTATTACGGTGTTTTGGACGTGCCTACAGTGGATAGGAGCACACCCCTACCGCGCATGTCCCGCAGTGGTGCACAGCAAATCCCCGCTGCAGCACAGAGCGAGCTGGGCTGAGCTCAGCACAAGGTTTAAGTGGGGGCTTACAGATCCCCTGGGCCGGGAGCGCTCCCCTAAACTGCTGCTAAAAATCCCGCTGCCAGGGGTGCCCGGGCCTCTTCCCCGCTCTGCTCCCTAGATGGCATTCTTGCACAGACCTGCTCCCGGCACCCCAAACCGCGGGTGCCACAAGTACCCATACCTTTTCTCGCGGGACTGCTCGGGCAGACTGTACGCTCGCTCTGCAAGACATAAACAGTTATCAGGCACTCAGACTGCAAGGTTGTCAGGTTTACTTGAAACGCACCGCCTCCACCAGGCCATAAGCTTGTCATTACGGGCTTGCAACGTCGTTTGAAATTTAGGAAAGCCAAAACGTATATACATTAGAAGCAGCTTTTCCTAGGGTAAGACCACTGCCTACTAAGCTATGTTTAGTTGAGAATCTGCCAGAATGGAGATAGGTATCAGTGAATGCCAGTCTCTGCAAACAGTCTATTTTTAAGAATAACAGAAAATATTTATTTTGTTTTTCTTAACAATCCCGACTTGAACGATTCACACTTCATTTTGCTTTTTACATAATTTGTTGTAAGATATCTTAATGACATTCTTCTACCATTTGCAATTACCCATCTTACGCAGCTTTATCTACAGTATTAAAAAAATTTAAATCCCTCTACGTAAAGAAGAATATTACTAGTCTAAGTACTGCACAGGATGTGTAATGTTACAAGTTTACATCCTAGAAACAGTAGAGAGGACTCAAGGAGATACTCTTCAACAAACTGTCTAAAAAGCAAAATAAAAGATAAATCATTCAGTTGGGTTGTTTTGAAAAAAAAAAGAAAAAAAAACCAAAACAAAAAAACCAAAACCAACAAACAATAAAGACCACTCTACCATTTCCAAATTAGAAACCATTTTGCAGACATTTGTCCATTTTGCAGACATTTTTTTGCAAAGCTACCGCAGGTATGGTTCAGAAAGATACTTAAAACACCTGCCTAAGTCAAAGCATCAGACTATGCCTTCTTTAAAGTTAGATGCAAACTTAAACACACTTCGCTGAATCAGCATGTCTTCAGACAAACATAGACTTCAAGTTAGTGAGAGCTAGAATATTTACCAAAGAAGCAGCAGGACTAAAAGGGCATTTCAGTTAGTTTCCAGGCACAACTTGTGCCGCAGGATGCTTTCAGAAGAAACGAAGGCCATGTACCCATGGGAGATGAAGACAGCCTCATGCAAAACAGCACCGTGGGGTTGGCATTGAGGTACTTACTACAAGGGTGGAGCAGAGACACTGACTTAGAGAGTGAAAGAGCCTGAAGGAGGGATCGACCACTGTTCACGAGCACACCATCTACAGAGCAGGGACAAATCCTTTACTGTTACAGCCTGGTAATGCCTTCTCGAATAAGAGCAGGTAGTTGTTCTAAACCTGAGTGTACTGAAAAGCTTCCACCAGAAATGGATGGCAATCTCCCATTTTTCTCTCGTACTTTGTGCAAAAAAGACCATCCCGTTGCCATCCTGCATTCAGCTGCTTTGGCTTATAACCATTGCAACGTACAAGGTCAGCTGCGCCTCCCTCTTGCATAGCTAAGCCCCGAGCAAGATGTCCAAAGTGGTGGCAGCTAGGCAGAGGGGAAGGGGCAGGTTTTCAGTGCACAGAGACCTGCACAGACCCAGACACAATCCCACTACAGCCCTCAGAGATCGGGATTAACTATCTGACCTAGCTTCTGGGACCAAGCTCTTGAGCTAGTCCTGTACCCAGATGCAACTGGTCAAAGTGAGAGCAGCCGTGCCTACCTCACACAGTCATCACCACTGCCAGCTGCCAAACTCTCTGTTCAATGCTCCCATCCTTGCAAAACGCTGGCAAGGAAGGGATGAGGCACGAGGTGCTGATGGCAGGGAACCGCCAGCAGGAACCTCAGCAGACCACCCCCCCACCCCAGCAGCCCACCGCATCTGCAGTACAGGCTGCAGAACAGCTGTTTCCAAAGCGGGGACAGGAAAGGGTTTCCACCTTCTCCACAAGACAGGTACAGGTCCAGCACTGACTGTCCCAGGAGGAAGGGGAGAGAGAATGAACAGGACATGGGCCCAAGCCCGGACCAGCTCAGCGCAGGTAATGGTGTCTGGACGAAGCTTAACGGGCTGTGACACCAACAGTCCCATAGCTGCGAGGTCAAAGGAACTCTGTTTCAACTTTCAGCACATGCCTCAGGGCTTTGCTGATCTGCCACCCTCTACTTCTGTGACATTTCCATCTTTTTCTTCTGCCTTGTTTTGCCAAAGCCTTCCACCTAATCTGTTGGATACAAATGGTTACAAATACATTAAGTGATGTGGAAAAATACAGCACAGCTGCCTACTGCAGGCTGCAGTGCATACTCATCCTTACAAGGGGACATTCACAAAGTGCATTTGAATAACCACAAACAACTTATTTGCTGCACTGCTTAACACAGTCCTAAGGAAAGAAGATGTCTGCAGTCACTGCATGTCTGCCCATCTGCTTTGCCCATCTCAGCTTCCCAACAGCTTTTGAATTTGTTAGCTGGTTTCAAAGTTAACGATAACATTTCCACAACTTTTGTGTGTTTTCACATTCTGCATCACAGAATCACAGAATGATTTGGGTTGGAAGCAACCTTCGAGATCACTCCATCCAACCTTCCTGCCATGGGCACGAACATCTTTCACTTGATCAGGTTGCTCAAAGCCCCGTCCAACCTAACCTTGAATGCTTCCAGGAATGGGGCATCTACCACCCCTCTGGGTGTCCATCCCATCTGGATCACAGTAACTCGCATGTCCTGCCTCTTGCTCAGGACTAGTGGAAAGCTAAAGGTATACTGGAGGGAGAGACAAGCTGACAGTGTGGCAGTGGACAAGGTTATAGGGACAGAGGCCAAGTCTCTTGAAATGCAGGTGGTTTTTAAGTTATGTGATTAAATGAAAAGTACAGTATATGTATTTCACACTTGGCATGATTTTCAAATATAACCCATACTTTCATTGCAAAAAGCGTGGGTTGTCTTCTAAATATGAAACTATGAAATAAAGCACGTTAGAAACAATTCGTAAAAAATTACAAGCTTCTTGCAGAGACATCTCTGACTCCACTTGATGGAGAGGGTGGGTTCCGCTCCCCAGCCTGTGGAGATGACAATAGCCCATTCATGTTTCAGGGATTCCCCAGGATCTACGGGAAACCGGGACCATCCGCCCTCTGACACCTCTTCTGTGTCATCCTGAGCTTCCTCATGGTCTCTGCCAGCCAGCCAGCAGGAGGCTGGGGTCAGGATCTTCCAAAAAGAAGATTACTGCCCTTGCCTATGCTACTTTTCCTGATTAACGCTCTCCCAGTTTGCGTGCCCTCCCAAGGAGGTGCTGTATCAGGGGAGGGCATAACAGGACAGTAGATGGGAGAAGAGCGAGGAATGATGGTAGGGCAACCCGACCCTGCTTCCACGCACATCGGCGAGGTCTGTGTACAGGACAGGCCTGAGTAAAGCCATCGGTGCTGGGCCTGAAGCAGGCAGGCACGGCATGAGGCTGTGCAGGTGCAAAGCCAGAGCACTGACCTTCATTCAAATCCCCAACTGCGAAGTCTCGAGGAATGCAAGGTCTTCCTAATAAACCTTTGGGCGAGGAGCAGGAATAGGAGCGTGACCGAATCCCAGACACTGTGCATTCCTACAAGAAATTGCAGCAAATTAAAACTTGTGTTGTTTTGAAATACATCAGCAACAGAAATAAAATAAATCAGTGACAGAATTCCTGAAAGAAAGACAACTGACCACAGGCATACATTGTCTTGGCTTCATTAACCTTTAAGTTGAAGTACAATTTTCGACAATTTCATTTGAACTCTTAGGAAGTCTGTCATACTTCCACCATGATAATTTTTTGTATATTACAGGAAATAATTTGTGGGTGCAAGAGACTTAGACTAAGAGAAAGCTTACATTCCTCTAAAGTTTGGTGGCAAGCACCATCCAAACAGTGTTGTTGGCCATTACATCTGATGACCAAGCTATCTTCCTTTACCAAGAAAGCCATTAATCTTAGTACTTTAATACCTCAAGAATATTTCATGGAGACTAATGCCCTGCCTGTCAGAGTTGCCAAAGAAGGGAGTTAACCTCTTTACCTTTTCTGTCTGCATTTTTTTTATTGTGTGTGAAAAGATTTTCTGATCCCCAAATATGTCAATGATCAGGCTTGAAAGGAAACCCCCTGATTTTTGATACATCATTTACATTTACATTAGGAGACTACTCCTAAACAACTTATCTGATTGTTTTTAAAAGTAGCCCTAACAGAATTCAGTGTTTGTGCTGGACTCTTTTTCTCCCTTTATGTAAACATTTGCTGAAGATCAGATAAAGCTCTACAGTGGCAAGAAGTCTGTCTAACAAAAACATAAAGAATCCCTACAAACAAAAAATAACTCTATGTATGTGACTAAAGATTCAGAAATGGCACCATGGTCTAATGGAAATGAATGTAGCCAGGATAATTTAGAAAACCATAATGAAGAGGAAAGATTTGCACTGGTCAATGCACAAAACCCAAATGAATTTTCCCGAGTCTAGCAATTGTTTTAAAACAGGCAGCAGGCTGGTTTTATACTTTACAAAGCTCTTACCCTTTCACATAATTACAGCTGGTTAAACATTTCCTCACTAAACATATCTTGGTTAGAAAATGCTGATTCACTGAACCCAAGATATTTCCTTCGAAACGATTCTGATAAACGATGCTTTTTTCAAAGCTGAATCGAATCTCTGATGGACCCTTCCCATGGCTTCTGCCAAGCCTGGCCACAACTGGGGAGCTCCAGCTCCACCACAACGCTGTGGGTGTTGCTCTCCAGAGGGACTAGCATGGCCAACTGGGACCTCATTTTTCCCCTTAAGATTCAGATGTTTCTCACATGTTTTCAATGATTTACTTAAAAGGAAAACAATGCAAACCAAGATAGTATCAAATACCTTGGGCTGCAGACTGATAGATAAGTCCAATCCATCTCTGCCACAAGTCATGGCCTCTGAAGAGCCGAGGGGAGGGTAGTGAATGTGGGATCTGTCCGAAACACCTCCACTTCCACCGTCTACTTCAAGGTCATCGAGACTTGAACTGAAGCAGACAATGAAGTCTTTAATTCCCATGAATTCTAGTAACGATCCATCCCAACCTTAATGCAACAAGCAAAGATACTGCTGTATCATCTGATCAATGACAACACAAACCACCACAATTATGTCAGGTAAGTCACGTTCTGAGTCCCCTCTCAGGTTTGCAGTCACCTGGTCAAGGTACTCAGTCACGCTGTACAGGACTCATCTGACCCAACCTTGCGGATCTGCGATACAGACATTTGCATCACCCACGATCATGCAGACTCCCACCACAGTCAGCCACTTCTGGAGGATGATTTTCAGACCCATGTTCAGCATCTCCCTTAAAATGAAATGTTTTGTTCCACACAGGTACCTGCCTCCCTATATAGACGATAAGGAGAACTGAGACAACTAGCTCAGATTTCAGTATTAAGATATGTGGGTATATATGGATATTGGGTGTGTATTTGAAAGACACGACGTGGCTATTCACAGACATCTTTTTTCTACATCTGTGACTTGATGGAGGATGGAAGACAAAACTAACAAGAGAGACGAAGGAGGGTCTGAGACAGTTTATGAAATTCATTTCAAAAGATAAAAACATATAGGACTATAAACTGAAAAAACTCTGGCTAAATCAGTATTTCAAACACCTAGAGACTATTTGATTGGCAAGGGTTCACAAGCAGAAGAGTGCAGTAAGGTTTCTCAGCAGTACCAGGGTTTCCCAGAATGGGTCCCGTTAGCTGCAAGAGCAAGTTCATGGTCTCTTCATCAGAGTGACTGGAAGGAACGGTTGACTGCTTGCCATAACATTCCAGCCTTACAACATAAAACTTTAAATTATGTGTGGTATTTCTAAATAGCGGAGTTCCTACCATGAATAATAGCACAACAATTCCTTCACACACCACTACAATTCACTTTGAAGAAGGCCAAATCTATCGACACTGTCCAAAACTACTTCCTTATTACACTTCTGGAGACCATCTTTTGCAATGTTTCTTAGTAATAGCCCACGTGACATCTCAGAAACAAGTTATTTAACTGCATTATCGGTTACTCTCACATTTTAAAATCAGAAAAGCAATACGTGTCTATGTCAACAGACAAGCATACATGTCTTACTGGGGGTAACTTACCTGGGGAATTTTTCTGACATAAAAAGCTGGTTTAAAGATCTGCTGAGTAACTTGCCACATCACCTCAGATACTTCAAGGAAGATGCTGATGGAATTACATACTGACAGTCTTATTTTATGTGTAATATTTGGATCACTTACAGTTGACATATTAAGGTCAATCACATCTCTCTGAAAAATCATATAAGCTCTTAAAGCTCACATATAGGTATGTGACCTAGGTCTTAAAAAAGGTGGACATATCTAAAAATGTATAGCAGAAAAATGTTTATAACAGAGGCAGAAGGTTTTTTATAGTAATCTACATGATATCCCCGTAGCTAGCAAAAATAAAAGGTTTGGGAAAGAACAACTCTTAGCCTGACGCTTGTTGTCTTATCTGTGTTAAAAGACTCCTCCTAGTGGAACTTCATAGTTGCATAAGAAACTCAAAATTAGGGTAGAGAAAATGTTATTGCCCACTTTAATCAACAACGGACAGACACTACTGCTTCCTTACTGTTTCCACATAGGTCTGATGCCCTACCTCCAACTAGTCCAAACACTCTTGAAATGTGGGAGACAGATTCAAACTTCCTCCTGTACATGAAGGAAACTATTTCATGTCTCTTGTATCCATAGAAGCAGTAGAGCCTTTTTATTGAGGAAATTTACTAATTGTTAAAAAAAAAAATAAAATCAATAAATAAAAAATAGTTTCATCTTCCAAGCTCTCTGCATTCCTGAAGCCAACCAGTTCCCAGCATAACCTAAAGCCATCTGGAGGAGGGTCCTCAGACAACTGGCTCCACTGGCAGCAAACCAGCAAAAGAGCAAAAAACAGTCTGAACCTATCAGAAATGCAAGCTGTACTCTTCGTCTTTTGTGGTTAAAAAATATATGCCATCAGGAATAAGTTGGTCTTTCTACAGACCAGTGCAAAGAATGGAAAGATTCCCAGAGATTTCAACAGATTTTGGAATATTTTCTTAAGGGAAAACATAACTGAGGAAAAACTAGGGTGAAATTCTTGTTCCTGACAAAAATGCCATAATGGAAACTCTTACAGTGAACAGCTGATTCTTTTTTTTTAGAGAATACATACAAGAAGAAAAGGTATAAAAGTATAAATTTGCATTAAAAATGAATTTACTTGGAGGACACCCTTTATTTGTTAAAAATGTCTTCATAACTATTTTATGAAAACAGATCATTAGGACAATTTAAACATCAGTGATTTTACCTCAGTAGTAATATTTATTACTCCAGATTCTGCTTCATCTTTTGAAATAAAAGGTTATCATAAATAATCCTGATTCTGGCCTTATCATCAAGTCAATTCCATACCTTCTTTTCTTCACATCAGCATAAAGTTGGCCCCGATCCTTAATAAAACCATGGCTTTTGAATGGAAGGTATGAATCTGCTCCATATGGATCAGAAGGTGAAACAGTATGTATTAAACCTGCATTTTCTCCATTCTTCACTGGCCTTTGATTTCCTTCATTTGGATCATATATATATTGGTCATTCTCCTCAAGGGAGGGAGATGAAGAGCTCTTAGACATCGGGATTGAGTTGGTGGGATTCAGACATGTTTCACTGCTGACACCATCTCCATGAACATAGCTAGCCTTTAAATCTCCAGCCTGCAGAGAAAAAATGAATGCTGGTAAGAGGCAGTAACAAGATATATTGTCAGGGAACAAGGACCAGATTAGTTTGCCATTTTATTTATGGTTATATGTTTTGCCTTGTTTTTCCCTACCCTATTACTTTTTACAGCACATGAACTGAAGGCAAGTTATATGGCTAAGAGATTCTAATCCTTGCATTACTTTTTTCCATAATTAGAGTAGCAATGAATTGGTATTTGCAAGTCTAATGGATTTCTCACTCGGATTTATACCTTTCATTAAATGTATCAATTCATATATTTATAGCTTTTATTAAAAAAAATCCTTGAGTTGAGCAAAAATATGCATAATACATTAGTGTGGGAGACACACAAGAGGAGAATTCAAACATTGTGCAATTTAATTTGGAAAAATCAGCATGCACTTGGAAAAATCCATCATGCACTTTTAATTTTACAGCACCAATTTCCTAAGCTTTGAGATAAATATATATGACCTGGAACAGAGATTCTCCAGGGGAAGAAGGGAAAGGAATCTTTATTTTTTGCCATCAAGCAATTATGGGCATGAAGCACCCCTTCTCTTGCACAAAGACAGGAAAGGAGTTGGGAATTATGTTTTCTCACTACAGGGATCAGGATTTAGACCCTGGTAACAAATAATTCTTTGTGCAACTGAGGTTGAATTCTCCTGTCAACTCTGCAGAAGATACTAAAACACAGTTTATTGTCAGTCTTTTAGTTAGATGCTACTGTCATCTGTTTAGACACTGAATAATACTGAAAAGTCACATGGCCAGTGAAAACACTCAACCTCCAAAAAGCGCCGGTATAAAAGCAAGCAGAAAGGAAGAATTGCAAGCATCTCCCCTGGTCTTTCAGATTGCTGACTTCCTCCTCTCTGGCCCCACTTGAGATGTGTTTTCATCCCCATTGTAATGATGTTTCTCTTAGTAAAAGACAGAACTGCTGGCACGTTTACAGCAGCCCATATTTGTATTCAAAGATTTGGCGCATACAAGTCTGGAAGTACTTCTGTTGTGTTGTGCAGGTAAGATGCACGAAGGTAAAATGCTTCTCCCAAGTCTTATGCAGCTGTCCCTCCCTTCAAAGTTATTCCTGCCTGGGCAGTATTTCCCCTCAGCACCAGAGGGACCTCCTCCGGCAGCGGCTCCAGCTCCTGCTGCGTGGGGCTTAAGGAGAATTTGGCCCCAATCAGCAATTTAACAAAGATGAATGTGGCTATGCACTGAGCAAAGGTAAGTAATCCAAGCTGAAGGACCCCTCAGCAATATACTCCGGTTAACATCTGCATTTGTAATGGAGCTGCACTTCTGCAGCTCTGTCCTTCCAACCTGGATATTGTTAAAATCAAGGGTTCACAGGTTGCCTATATAGTCCCCTGCTAGTTGCTCACTCCTAGGTCATTATTTCATGCATCTCTCAGTAACCTTAGGTGCATTTTGGACATTCTGGCCTCTGACTGAAACTTCCATCTCAGCTGTCACAATGAGTTGGATCTGCAGTGAATGCAGCGGCTGAAGTGTTTCAGGGAATGGAAAAAAAAAAGGGGGAGGGGGGGGAATCACACTTGTAAAATCTCAGCCACCTTCTAGCATGATGATCTGATCATTTCTTACTCCTACATTCCAACTTTCACCCCAGGCCGAGCCCACAGCAGGTTACAAATAAATAAATCACTTCAACCATCACTGAAACATAGCTACATGCCACCAGAATTTGGTGACTGTTTACCTACACACAACCACTATACACAAGAGTTGGACTAGTCCTCCCTGCCCAACTTATGATATCTGAGTGTGACCATGGGGGAGGGATTTCAGGTGCAACATGGTGATGTAAAATATAATTTGGCCTGGACACTCTAGATTATCTCCAGTGCTGGTGACAAATAAATCAGAAACATGAATATTAAGTCAGGATCTCCAGTATCAGAATGCTCCATGCCAGTTGTAGGACATCAACTTCACTTTTTCATCAATATCTCATTTTTATTGAACCTATAAGCTTAGCTATGAGCTTATAATTAACTATTGAAATCAGCCAGCATCAGCAAATTTGGCTCTCTTGTGAATGTACATAGAATGCAGAAAATCTGAAATGCACATGAGCAAGTTACTTTGTGTTAATGTCTCTGAGAAAGAAGCAAATGCCATTTAGCTCACAAACACACAGAAAAGAGAGTAAGAGCTGTCTTAGAGTTCTCCCTACAGGCTAGGGAGAACAGTTCCTATCATCTACTGAATCTATTAAAAGGGACCTCATAAATGGGTTACAAAATACAGCTGAGAAGAGTAAGGTATTACTGTTTTTATTTTAAAGCTTTACTAATTGGCCACACACCACTGCTGACAGATCCAGAAGACCCTACTATCACACAAATAAGTTACTGAAACAGAAGATGATGTTTGAACTTTTGGCAAATTTTTCATAAGCTTACTTGATCTACTACCATGCAGTTTGCATATACTTCACCACTTCCACTCAGCATGGCAGAAAGTCTGGTTGCAGCAAACAAAGTAGGTGGAGCCTTGAGTTTCCTGAGAACATCAAGGGTAGACTGTCTCTGCTCTGGAAAAAAGAAATTGTGGAAAATATGCCATTAAATCTCAAACCATCTTCTTCTCATGTATATATATGGTCATAAAAATGGCAAAGTTAAACATTAAGCACCAAATCTTAGGATTTTTGAGTAATATTTGTGTGGCCACTCAAAAATCTGCCTATTTGTAACTGCCTAATATTTGCTATATGTTCCAAGAAGCCTATAGTTGACGAGACTGTAAAAGGTACCACAGAATCATTCACATTACTTAAAAATAAGTGTTCCTGTATTTTTGTTAGCAAAACCTTCTATTTTCCATCTAAGCTAGAACTTTGCAGAGATCTGTGGTTGCCGAAGTACACAGGACAAGATTTATGGGCTGGGATGAAGTATGCATGATTCTGGCCTATACACTAAATACCTACCATCCGATGCATTATATGAACAGAATACGGTTCAATTGCCATCAAATAATGACTCTCCTAAAGCATTCGACCTACCAGAAGCAACATAAATACTAATCTTAAACCAATAAAGGAGATTACTGTTCTTAAAACAAAAAACAGTAACAAAATTGTGAGAGGGATATAAATAAAATACCACTGATAGTGCCTTTACAGGGTCACAGCAATCAATCAAGATTTGACACATGAACAAGATGTTTGGGATGAACACTGCATCTGATCTGCTTTTGGTACTGAAATGAGAAATTATCAGTCTCACCAGAAATCATTAAAAGAAGTTCAGAGTTTAGTTTTCAATAGTGTGTTCATGACTGCAAATATTACAAAAAGTTGCATGGGCTGACTATTTCATGGCTTTGAGCAGCAGAAAACCTAACCGAGTGCTACAGAAACACTGTCTATCCTGCAGGCCCACTTCTCTTAAAGCTGCTTATAAGTATGAAGATCATGCACCAATCCAGCATTTGAGCCAGTAGTCAAGGCCTCATACTATCTTCTGATTGTAAAAGGAGCAAAATATGACAAAGTGGAAATCAGTCTTGTTCTAGACTGCGTGAAAACAGGCTGAAAAAAAAATATCACAGTTGTACTGTAATTTTCCTTATTTTAAGATTCCGTAAGTCAACTAGTGCCATTGGAAGTGAACTGAGATAAACTAGCATAAAAATTATGTGGTAAAGTATCATACCCAGCAAAATACCCAAAATCAAAACTCTCAATAAACTTAATTCCAGTTTGTCTGTTATTGAAAATGATGCAAAAAATCCTTCTTAATCTGTATCAGCAATTTTTTTTTTTTTCAAAGGTGAAAAGGAAAAGATACCACTAAAGACCTTCCCCACGCTATATTCCTAAAGCAATGTAACTACTTTTGGAAGATCACAGAATCATAGCATGGTTTGTGTTGGAAGGGAACTTCAAAGATCACCTAGTCCAACCCCCCTCCCATGGGCAAGGACATGTTTCACTAGATCAGGTTGCTTAAAGCCCCATTCAAGATGCCTATGACCATCAGACTGCAAGAAAAGTTATAATGAAGAAATGACACTGGATTAGAAACTACACTTGTCAAGGTCTGAGGCATTTGTTTCTTTGGAAAAAAAGTCCCGGACAACTGCCAAAACTGCAGTGCTACACCGCAGCTTTTATTTAATTTTAAGATGCTATCTCATAAAGCCCAAGAACAGTAAGCTCTATACTTAGAGAAAACTGGAAATTCCCATTTAGAAAAGGCACACTATGAATTATTTGGTTTCTAGTCCTGGCAGGCCTTGCGGGATCTCATACCATTGAAACATCCTTACGCTTCTCATTTTGCTTCTCGCTCCTGCAGGAACTTCAACATGATTTTACGGACTGCCATCTTGAGAATTGCTAAAGCTACAAGCCATTTCCTTATGTTGGCCAAGATCCCAAAGCCTTTGTTTATAAATAGTATAAAAAGCATTGTTTTCTACAGCAGTTCATCAGACTTTGGCAGCTAAAATCATATGGAAATGGGATTTCGCAAAACTGGCAGTACCTTCTTGTGGCAAATAAAGCTTTCCAAGGGCTGGTCTCAAACCAACAACCAGGAAGAAAAAAAAAGTCAGGCTCTCCATTGCTTCTTGTACGCTTATTACCTTCCCCAGCGCACGCTCCCTCTCATATATGAACCCACTGGGTACAACTGGCAAGGGCAGTAGTTGGCTCCAGTGGTAGGCTGCAAAGGTTCAATACATACACCTGAAAAGCAGCCCATGCATTGGGGATTCCCGAATCACGGCATAAACCTGAGCCTATGGAGACACTTTCCCAGTCCCTACTGCTGGCTCTCTACAGTCAGTTAATGGACTGCACTATGAATTACATGTCCCGAGCCAGAAACAACAAAATGCCCCTATTACTTCACATTTTTATTTATACAGCAACTTCTAATACCACATTTTACATTATTTTAAAATTCTGTAAGAGAGTAACGGCCTAAGTAACAAATTCTGAAGAAAGCTGCTGCAAATACAACAAGATATATCAGAATATGTTATTTGCAGTACCTTCCGTTGGTAAATCTTTATTGATTATCACTGCTAAATGCTGTTATGTTTTTCTGGCAATGCTCCAGTCTGTTGTTAAAGGTGAGGCATCTAAATAAATATTCATTGGGGTTTTAAATGATCAGACAAAAGGTAGCAGGTTATTTTGGGCTTCACGTTGCAATATGACCCCACTGTACCTCCTTACTCCCACTCCACCACCCAATTTCAAACATGCATGAAGGGAGGACTACATCAAACTAACTTTGTAACAAGAGAAGTATTTAAAGACTTCGCTGAATGCAGGGGAGAGCATTATTAATTACACATTGACTGTGCTAGTAACTTATTTCCACCGGCCAGACCCACACAGTTTGCCAAGTGACAAAACTGTCACAAACATCCACATCACACGCTGCATTCCTACAGCCCCACTAATTGACTACAGCCTGCCTTGCTGCCTACAAGTCATCTCGGTCTTACGGGGACCATGAGCAGACCTTCCTCCAGGTTAACATAGCAGCAGGTAATAGCTTGCTGCACTGGGTACCAGTAGTAATATGCAGCAAGGCTGTGCCTGCCTGAAAGATGAGGAGTATCTAAAAAATGCATTTTTAAACAAAATGTGTCCAAAACCTCCCCTACCCATTCAAAATGCTTATTCTCATTGCAGATGCAAAAAAACTTCAGCACAGCTTATGGGAAGACAGGTAAGGCTGCCAGGGCAAACTCGCACTTCTTGTGAGAGTGCAGGTGTCCCAAAGAGTTTTATCTCTGAAAGGTGTCAGTAATGGACATCAAGATGCTTACTAAGGTAAAAATGACCCAAATACAACACAGCAAAATTGGCTTTGTTACTGAAACAACCCAGCAAGCACAGCTCACCAAGCTGATCATCCTGCCATAGCTGAACGTTCTGTGACTGTATACTGTGCCAGGACCACCAAAAAAGAATAAAATGTCTCCTTTAGCAGAGCCTGTGGCTCTCTGCCATCTGCCTGGCAAACAGTCCAGAAAGATGTATGCGTTATTTAGATGTAGGTGAACAAAAGCCACAGTGCTGGGAAGGATAATCTCCAAACATGGATAAAATAAAAGACCTTGACCAATGAATAAGTAGGCACATGTTCTCTACATCTTCTGTAATGTTGTCATCAAAGTTATACAGCAAAGGCTGCACATTTTACCAGGCATAAAAGCTTATAAAAATACGTTAACTTTAAAAAATCATATGATCATCAGAGAAATAATTCAAAATATGCTTTATGTTGTTGTAAGAAAATGTATAGCCTTGAATGACCTGTGTTGGAAAATGGCAAGAACATAACACTGACTGTTTTTCCACAAAAAACAAAACTTAAAACATTCTATGAGAGAGCACACAGCAAAATAGAAGTGAAATACATCAACGTGACCAAGCTGAGAGCCAGGAAAGAAATTACAAATTCCCTTCTCTAGATACAATGATTAGTCTTCAGACAGCTCATCACATTTACCCCCAGCAATGTGAGCAGGGGTTAATGTATAACTTGAAGTAAGAGAGCTATGAAGTCAGCAAAAAATCCAGATAGCTAAGTTCATGGGTCATGCAGTACTGCAGAAATACTCCTCTAAATCCAGAAATGATCATCTGAATTTGGAGAAAGACCACCACACGTTCCTGGTGAGGGGCCAGCCAAAGTGACATGCAGGTCTATAGATGTGGACCACACAACCAGTTTCAATGAGGGATCTGCATTCCTAATTCAGGTGTCTCGGTGCTTCAGTCAGACGGTGCAACTACTCATACCAGCAAAATTAAGCAAGTACGTAATAACAGCATCACATGGAGGGTAAAGTGAGGCTTTGAAGTGCTGTTGCCATAAAGACAAACATTTAACTGTCCCAAATCTATGGAGTGGAAACCAAAGCACTGCGGCTCCTACATACTGCACGGTGAGGATCAGGCATCTGGATGCTAGAAATTATACCATCATGTTCAAGATGTGGTCCTAAAGTAGCCACTAAGAAACACTAAAGATAAAGACACGTCAGTCACTGACTTTGATCTTTGTCACCTAAATGTGAGATGCGAGAAAGCATCCCTTTCCAACATGGGATTCACAGCCCTGACCTCCCTCCCTGAAGCAGGCACCTTGCCTACTATACAAATGAATATACAAACAGAAATAGGTTAGTGTCTCATTTTATACAACAGCACAACAGATAAAGTACTTTCCCAAGATATGGGACAGTCGGTTCCAATTCCTACCTCTGCCCAAGTGGACTCGGCGCATAACTCCCACCTCCCAGCACAGTGGGACAGTCTTGTTGGAGGCATATTCTCAGCACCCCTGAAGGTTGTCAAAGCTTCCAAAAAGGCTCTGAGAGTCACTGCCTCTGAACAGGTAAGATTATGCAGCACAAGAGGAGGGGAGAAGAAACCTGCTTTATGGCCATTTCACATTAAACAGCAGAACAAATACCATTAGGGGTCTTGCAGCAAGGAACAAAACTTAGATCCCCTCCCCAGCCTAATCACTAAGACACAGTCGTGTTCATATTCGCTGT